TAATTCAGTTGAAAAAATTAAGTTGATGTCAGGAACTGTACTAGAGATGTAAAACATGTATTTAAATGGGCTAATATAGTTTTTGAGGAAAATATAAAACTGTTATTGTATACAAAATAAATACTTATCTTTTATGACAAAATAAAGCAGACGTGTCTTATTTTTCAACATTGATCTCCCGTACCGTTCCTGATAAATATTTAGTTTCATTAACAAAAATTCATATTTTACATAAACCACTAAAAATTTACTACATGTGTTGTTAATCACTAGAATGGTAAATATTTAATCTATTGGAAGAATTAAATTACCTACTCATTACAAAGTAAAGTTTTGTATAATAAAAATTACGAACAAGATTTCACGTAGGGTGCATATTTCTTAGACAATATTATCTTGTACATTAGATTTAAATATTAAATAATTGTAATACATTGAAGAAAAAAATAATAAATAAAAGATTAGTATTTTAACTATAAATGCAATGCAAATAATTAAGTAATGAAAAGCATATACAAATATATTTTGTCATGTAAATAATACATTTCATTTATCAGTTTTTGTAAAAAAAACTTCTACAAAAATCTAATTAATGATAAATTTGTCAAAAATTACAATGTGGTATTTGGTTTGTTCTAGGTGTAGCAGAAGAATCTGTGTTGAGCTTGGACACTACAGTACCCAACACAAAAGAAGAATTTGAACAATATGGAAATGTACTTGTGCAAAAACTAAATCTACTTGCTAAAAATGCTGAATTTCCTGCATTTGCAGAAGAAATTATCAAAACTGTTGCTCTCAATTGTAAGTATATCATGTGATATGTATTGAAAAAAGTATAGTGTTTAAAAAAGTACATAGCTAAGAAAAATTATATTAAAAGAAAGGTAAAACATAAAAATCATATAATTGTATTAAAAATATCTCTATACAAATTTTTCAAAGAAGGGCACACTTAAAAGAAATTTCAGTCCGAAGGTACACATTTGTTTACTCCTTGTTATGAACTAATTTTTAAATGAACTAACACAGTTTAAATTCATAACTTTTCAAGCGTTTTAATAAAAACAACCTTATAAATTTAATACTTTGCTTTTAAATATATTTTAAAAGTTAATTTAATAGTAATTTCGATTCTTAATTAGAAATGAGATTAATATAATCTCGTTTACAGTATCCTCAACGTATTTGAAGAAAGTTAAAACAATGATCGATAATTTGTTAATTGAGAAGCAGAAGATCGAAAAAGGAGAAAAGGCGAAAAAGAGCAAGGGCAAGGGGAAAGCGAAACTGAAAATCGAGGGTGACAACACTCTTTTGAGCGAATACGGCGACTATGTTTACGATGATTACGACGATTTTATGTAGCGACCTTTTCATCCCATATTTTTATTATTCCCTATTCCCTTTTCTAGTCGCCTAAATACACGCAGATGGTTATTAACGTTTTTGCAGATTTTATATCCTTTATTCTCTCTTTATATTCAAATTCTCAGTTTCTTTATTTTTAAATGTTGGTTCAAGGTTAGAATCCTAAATAATCTTTTTTTTTTTAGAATTTCATATTATAGCATATACAAACACACACACATACACACGCGCGCACACACACACACACACAAGAATGTGGTACATCTAAGGGATGTAAAAGAATCTTAAGATAAAGTGTTAATGTGTTTTAAATATGATTGAAATGCTACATTAATACTAATCCGATTAATGAAACTATCAACAATTCTGAAAAGTCGGCAATTTTTAAACACGCGCGCCAGAAAATTTAGTCATGTTTATTATATTAACTTAGAAAATAATTATAACTAATGCAAACTGTACACACCGATATAAAACTTCAAAAGTCGAGAAGATACAATGCAAAAGTACGAAGACACCAACAACGATGTTCATAATGCGAGCGTTACGGCATAACTAAATGAATTGGCGAGTAGCGGGGTAACTTGTTGATCGAGGGATTTATCCTTTGGAACGAACTTTATGCGCATGCGTCAATAATCGTTTCGTGCGAGGAACTATATATAAACAGTTCCTTATAGTTTTATATTAATGAATATGCACGTGTGGTTTTATTACTATTACTATTCCTTTCATAATATATGGTACTGTTTAAATAATACCTTATAAAAATGTGTTTTCTTTAAAGAATTTAATGAAATCCTTATCGTAAAATGTGAGGAATAATCGAAGCGTAAATAATTTAATAATACTTTTATTAAGCTTCTCGTTACATGGACAGAAGATATGCATAGTGAAATGAAAAAGTACATACATTTAGTTAAAAATTTTGTTCGAACGTGGACGAAGTTTTGACGCTAAAACTATTTCATAGAATTTCTTATCTTTACCGCAGTAAAACTAAGGGAAAACTGTTTATTTTACTATAGTAAGTTAAGAATATTGTTTTTTTGTTCTTTTCGTAATAAATTTTACTTGTTAATAAATCTGTTCTATTTTTTTTTGCAATAAAATCGTA